TGTAGCCTGTTCTCTATTGGTATTTAAAAAAAAACAGTAGAAGAATATTTCATTTCTATATGTGATTCATGACTTCTTTAAGGTAGAGTAACTTTAGGCTTACAATCAGCCTTCTGTATCCATGTTTCATATCCATGCAATCAACCAGCCACAGGTTGAAAGTATTCTAAAAAATTCAGGAAGTTTAAAAAAAACAAAATTTGGATTGTCAAACAGGCAACTATCTACATTGCTTTTGTGCGGGTCTTCCTTGGTGACTCAAATGGAAGAAAATCTGCCTGCAACGCCGGAGACCCAGGTTCAATCCCTGGGACAGGAAGATCCTCTGGAGAAGGGAATGGTAACCACTTCAGTAATCTTGCCTGAGAAAACCTATGGACAGAAGAGCCTGGAGGGCTACAGTCCATGGGATTGCAAAGAGTCAGACATGGCTGAGCGCCAAATGAATGAGTGACATATCATTTACCTTGATTTAGGTAGTTGTTGTTCAGTCACTCAATCATGTTTCATTCTTTGTGACCCCATGGACTGCACACACCAGACTTCCCTGTCCTTTACCATCTCCCGGAGCTTGCTCAAACTCAGGTCCATTGAGTCGGTGATGCTATCCAACCATCTCATCCTCTGTTGTTTTCTTCTCCTCCTGTCTTCTATCTTTCCCAGCATCAGGGTCTTTTCCAGTCTCTTCGCATCAGGTGGCCAAAGTATTGGAGCTTCAGCTTCAGCATCAATCCTTCCAAAGAATATTCAGGATTGATTCCCTTTAGGATAGACTCATTTGTTCTCCTTGCAGTCCAAAGGACACTCAAGAGTCTTCTCCAACACCACAGTTTAAAAGCATCAACTCTTCAGCAATCAGTCTTTATGGTCCAACTCTCACATCCATACGTGAGGGCTTCCCTGATAGCTCAGTTGGTAAAGAATCTGCCTGCAATGCAGGAGACCCCAGTTCAATCCCTGGGTTCAGAAGATCTGCTGAAGAAGGGATAGGCTACGCACTCCAGAATTATTGGGCTTCCCTTGTGGTTCCAGTTTGATCCCTGGGTTGGGAAGATCTGCTGAAGAAGGGATAGGCTACCCTCTCCAGAATTCTTGGGCTTCCCTTGTGGCTCAGCTGGTAAAGAATCCACCCACAATGTGGGAGACCTGGGTTCGATCCCTGGGTTGAGAAGATCCCCTGAAGAAGGGAAAGGCTACCCACTTCAGTATTCTGGCCTGGAAAATTTCATGGACTACAGTCCATGGGGTCGCAAAGAGACATGACTGAGCGACTTTCACATACTAGAAAAACCATAGCTTTGATTATATGGACCTTTGTCAGCAGAGTAATGTCTCTGTGTTTTAATACTTTGTCTAGGTTTGTCATAGCTTTTCTTCCAAGGAACAAGCATCTTATAATTTCACGTCTGCAGTCACCATCTGCAGTGATTTTGGAGCCCAAGAAAATAGTCTTTCACTATTTCCCCACCTATATGCCATGAAGTGGGCTTCCCTGGTGGCTCAGCTGATAAAGAATTCCCCTCCAATGTAGGAGACCTGGGTTCAGTCCCTGGGTTGGGAAGATCCCCTGGAGAAGGGAAAGGCTACCCACTCCAGTATTCTGGCCTGGAGAATTCCATGGGCTGTAGAGTCCATGGGGTTGCAAACAGTCAGACTGAGTGACTTTCATTTCATTTTTTCATGCCATGAGGTGATGGGACCAGATGCCATGATCTTAGTTTTTTGAATGTTGAATTTTAAGCCAGATTTTTCACTCTCCTCTTTTTTTTCCCTTTTTTTTTTCACTCTCCTCTTTCACCTTCATCAAAAGGTACTTCTAATACCTTGATGAAGGTATGAATACCCCTTCATCAAGAAGATGAAGAGGTGTTAGAAGTACCTCTTGATGATTTAGGTATTATAAGTAATCTAGTGATTATTTAAAATATATGGGAGGAGGTACTGTAGCAAATACTACATTTTATGTAAGGAACTTGAGCATCATAAATCTTTGTATCTGTGGGGCCTCCTGGATTCAGTCCCCCAAGGAGACCAAGAGAGCCCTGTACCTGAACTTCTCTCCCCCTACTCCTGCATGAAGGAATCTAAAAACATGCACAATCTGGAAGCTTGCAATTCTCATTGCAACCTTAGAATAACTGGCACCATCTGAGAAGGACTGAAAGTAAAAAACCACCATTCTACTCAATGTGCATGTCCTCTTACCATAATGTGTTTCTCATTAAACAAACAGTGAGTAGAGAATCACCTACTAGAACAAGTGCGTAAGAAAACCTACTATAAAGAACAAGGTGAGGCTGAGTAGCTAATTAATATAGCTAAAGATTTGATAGTTAATCTTTGATACATTTCATAGATATCTATTAGTAATAGGAGCTTATTTGCATATTATTTTACTTTTAATTATTGCATGAATTTACAAATGGAAAGTGTAAAACAAGCTTCTGCATCTTTATATCTCATACACAACCTAGTAAGATGTCTTTTTCAGTGGTAACCATTCAATAAATATTCATATATTAAATTGAATACCCAATGTGAATAGTACATATTTTCACTAAGGGCAGAAAAATACCCATGAAATTGTTTGAGTTTTGTTTTGCTCCATTTTTGTTACCAGGCACAAATCCGAAAGGAATTAGGATTACAATTACTTCCTGTAATGCTTAGAACAAGTTCAGAATTCTCTCTGCAATTCATATGCTGTGTTTTACCTTAAGCTGTGCTGAGCTAGGTTGCTTCAGTTATGTACGACTCTTCGAGACCTAGGGACTGTAGCCCACCAGGCTCCTCTGTCCATGGGATTCTCTAGGCAAGAATACTGAAGTGGGTTGCTGTGCCCTCCTCCAGGGGATCTTCCTGACCCAGGAATCGAACCCATATCTCCAGCATTTCTTGCACTGTAGACAGGTTCCCTACCCACTGAGCCACCTGGGAAGCTCACGTGAAGGCCATGATTGTGTATTTATAAAGATTTAAAAGCTAGTATTTGGCATCCATTCTTCAGATTTTCCTTATTACCAGCCAATCTGAGGCCCAGAAAACCACTATTTGTTGTATGATCACAAGGGGTGGGGTTGGGGGGTGGAGTGGAAATCAGTAGTTTTATCCACAGCATCAACTATTAAATGGCCAAAGTTTAGATCTTTTAAATACTGTCATTTCTTTCACTGCACTTCCATCTCTGAGTCTTATCTTTAGCATGTGTATCATCAATTTCAGAGCAACTTATCCAATTACCACAGAAGACTTTAAGTTCAAACTATTTTGAGTGGTTACTTCATGCTGAGCAACTATACACAAGACAAGCATATATGCAATATTCAGCCAGTGCCTTCAACTAGTAGTTGAATTTCACACACTCCTAGGAATGGAACACTTGCTGAACAAATGGAAAAGATTCTTCCGTGTTTATTAAAATTCACACAATGTCCATGTTTCCAGCATATGTACAGCAGCAATTATGTATCTTTCCTTTCCAGGGCCCAAGTAGCAACATCTCCTCAGGTTGTGCCAAGGGCAGACAGAAGTCTCTCTTAGTTCCTGTTGCCATGATCAGAGAATTTTTAAAAGTACAAATATTCCACTTACATAACGGTACTGTAAAGGTTAAAACACATTTTTTCCCCACCTCCATGCTTTCTCTCTTTGTCGTTGGTGGTAGTGGATGGGGAGTCCCCTAACTGTGCCTTCCTTGTCTCCTTCCCAGCATGCGGGGTTCTGCACTGTTGCCGCTCCACGCTGAGCTAAGGTCCAGCTCTCATCTGTTGCCCTGACTACCCTCAACCCACGAGGACCCGCCAGAAGACTAAAATGACAGGCTAGTAAAAGGAAAGAAACAAACCCTACAGAAGGAATGACAACCTTCCAGCACGATAACGAAAATCCCCAAACCTGTGTTCATCTCCCAAAACTGTGTGGACTCTCTCCCATGGCACTCTTAAAACTACTCGGCCCGCAACTCCAGGAATCCAGGTAGACCCCATCAGTGGCACAATAGGCTGCACAAACTAATCACAGCGCAGGTGGTTACAAATCCTTCCCCGCCCCCGCCCCCCCCCCCCACAAGCATCACCCCTGAGTGGCTCTGCTATGCTCCACATCCCTTTTGCAAAAAATCTGTTACCTGAGACTTCTTTCCACCTTCAGATTTCTAAAGATCCGTGTGCTTCCTCCATCCCACCCCGTTTTTTATCCCAAGTTTGTTGATGGGGCAGAGAGGATGCCTGTATTAAGGGCTGTATGAATACCTGTGTAGAAAAGATTTATAAACCTTTCCTTCTTCCACTTAAATCTGTCTTCTAAGCCTTACTTGTTGCCTCGAAAAATGGGGTTGATCATCCCCGCTGTTGGCCCAAAGTTGTCAAGAAGCCCTAGAATTTCATGTATATTAAAGGGTTTTGCACACTGTCAAATGCAAACATGACACTGGTTGCGTGTAACCCCTACCGGGCTCCTTTCTGTTCTCAGGGACCAACGCAGCCCCATTTCCAAGGCGTTTGTTTTGTTTGGTTTTGTTTTTGCATCTAAGTACGGATTCTTCGGCCTGGCCCCTTCCCCAAGCCGCGACCCGCCACCTGCGGGACAAAAGCGAGGGCAGCCAGAGTCCCGGTGGCAAATGGCCCCCGCGGGCAGAACTCGGGTAACGGTATGGACGCCGCGGCCCGCGCTCGCCTCTCCCCTCTGGGAGCGAGATGGGAGGCGTGGGAGAGCTCAGAGAAAGAGGGTACAGGAGCCTCGCAGCGAGAAACGGCGGCGGCGGGTGCGAAGCGGACCAGAGAAGTGGAAGAAGCCAGACAGATGGAGGCAAAAAGACAAAACCAGAACAGTCCACACTGGAAGTCGCCAGGAGCTAACCAAAGGAAAGAGATAAAATAGGAAGGCTAGGCTTCCTAAAGAAGCCCCTGCGCTTCGCGGAAGGCGCAGGACTCGGAAGCTTAGAGCCGAGAGCGCGAGCCCCCGAGGATTAAGAGGTCGCAGGCGGAGCCCTTCCCAGTTACCTGTGTTACTTCCGCCTTGGCTGCCCCCGTCCGGGGGGAAGATGCCGGAGCATTTCTCCCACTCCACCTGGCCCGCGAAGCACAGCTCCGTGACGATGTGCAGTGCCTTTTGGCACAGGCTGCTCACTCCGTCCTCCTTATGGAAACTCATCGTTTGGCCTCGTTTCTCCCAGATAGCCGTTTGTTCCCCTTCCAGTTACCTCTGTGCTGACCCCTCTAGCGCCCTAAGCCATATCCCGCCTTCGGAGACTTTGGCCCAGGAGCGCGCAGCTAAGAGGCGGCAACTCTTAGGAGCCCCAAGTTGGCCCCATGGCGGGAGCAGAGGGCTCCAGAAAAGGTGGAGAGGCTGGGGCGGGAATTAGAGCTAGGCGGATGCGGCAGCGAGGTTTTTGCTAACTCTCACGCCGCGCGAACGAGCCCAAGCAAGCCAGAGAGACCTGCATGGAGAGCGGAGGGGAGCTGCGGGAGACGTAAAAAACCTAAAGCCCTTCACTTGCAGAAGCGTTTGTGTTTCTGGAGGGTGCCTGACGACGGCGCGTCCAATCGCAGCCTGGCGCGGGTCTGGTGACCCCTTCTCTAGTCACCGGGGGAAGCGGGAGACAACGGAGGAGGCGCCGCCGGGCGCCCTTGCTGTGTTTTCCTGCTGAGGCCTGAGACGCTCTTCTGGCGCGCAGGCTGGTGAGAAATCTTGGTTTTCTGGGTACCTTTCCCAGCCTCCGTACCCCCCTACCAAAGCCTCTCTTGATTACGGATGTGCTCTGATTCTCTTATACTTTTTTTTAAAAGATCATGCCAACTGAAAACAAGCTGAAAAAGTTAATCAAATACCTAGTAGGTGAACGATCAAACCAGACGTCTACAGAAAGAAAAAAAGACATCCCAGGAAAGCATTTTAGAAATGACTTTTTTCTTTTTGATTTCTAACTATGATTGTTTAGAAACAGAATATTCAACCCAAGAGCTCTTTTTACTACTACTAGTAAAATTCTCCATGAGGTGCATCTTTACTGTTTGCCCAGTTCAGTTTTTCTTTATGCATAAATAAAGTGAATAGGCAAAGTTGTTCATTGCTATTTAAATTTCTTTTTTACTAAATTTAAGAGACCACAAAACAAAATATGTTGTTTGTATTAATATTCAGTTTGAATTTTGCCCATTAATATGCAATTTGCAATTGAAATTGCATAACCTGACCTCCTTTATCATTCTTTCAAGTGACTTAAGTACTGAAGAAGACAAGGCACAGGTGTTAAAGGGGGAAAGGGTTAAGTTCAAATCTGTCACACAGATTGCTTAACCTGGGGAAATTGCTTTCAGGGCTTTAACTAAGTCAAAGGACTGACTGAAGGGTTTAGACTCTTATAATTCTCTAACGCAAATTATGGAGCTAAAGCTACAAAATCATGTTAATAAACATGTGCCACAAGGTTGTAGGAAATAAATTTACATTGCTTTTAAATTGTTTTCAGGCAGAGTTTGATCCCATACATATTATAATCTGAAGATTGATTTAATTTTTGTTAGGTAAGGATTCTTTATTTTAGAAGTGAAATATCCTGAATTTATTCATGTTGAGGAGGAAGAAATTTCCCTCTACCCATCTTGATTCTTCAAAGTGGCCTAAGAATTAAACTGATGTGAGAAAGATCAACAGGAGGAAAAAAAATTAGTAATGTACAATGGGAGAGATTCAGGAAAAATGAGTGACTCACCAAAATGGCTGAAGCCCTCACCTTAAATGCCCTCTTCAGCTAAAGACAAAAGAGGACATTGGGGGTATCAGTTTGGTACCTTAGAGGGATGGAAGACAACTCACAAGGAGATGAAAAAGCAGATGCTTGGTAAACAAATGTTTACTCTGCCATACAGAGACAATATGAGACAATGAGAATTTTAACAGATTTTGCTAGGTTTCTCCCAGTCTACACATCTAGTTCATACAATAGTTTTCTTTGATGATAGCTCCCTTCCCAGAACAGCTCTAGCTACATTCTTTAGGCAGCTAGAAGGACTGTCAAAATTTCTTCCTGAGTCTCTTGGGTGTAGTTTTCAGCTCAAAATAATCTGCGTGCCCAAGAGACATTTTGGGGTGACAAGTTTTGCTCCCAAAGAATAGGTAGTTTTATTTTAAACCATTCCATTGTTTGTGATAAATTATTTCTTCTGTAAGGACACTATGGTAAATCTTAGCGTAAACATTTAGCATAGCATCCCAGTAGAGAGCATATATTAGTTGAATCATTTTAACCTGATTCATAGGACAACTGGTATAACTAAGGACAATTTTTTCTTTCATGAATTAGACAAAGTATAATCTTCTGGCTTCATTTACTTTTTGTTTTTATGCACATTGATCTGGGTTGTTTTTAGATCAGATTGACTAAAGAACTAATTTCACCATCAATTTAAGAAACCTTAAATAGCTACTATATTTGAAGCTGTCATTAAATAAGTGCTCTGGTGCCCGTGTTATAGAAAGCCAAACTCTGACAGTGGGTGTTTGCAGCAGAGTAAGGATTTATTTGGGCATTAAGCAAGAAGAACAGGCAGATTATGCTCAAATGGCTTTCAAGCAAGAGTTTTTAAAGACAGTGTTAGGAAAGAACTCTGGACATTCTTCTGATTGGTTGATAGGGAAGAGCAAATTTTGACTCCATGTTGGATCTGTTTCTTTGACTTTAATCTTTGCTTTTTGTTGCTTTTATTATTATAGTCATAAATAATGGCCTGCTTTGGGAAACCCTGCCCCTCTGTCTGAATGTTAAACCAAAGTGCCTTTGTTCAGGACCCTGCTCACCTGTGGATGGCTTTAGGAAGGAAGAAGTTAACTTAGCCCCTCCCTGAGATTGGCCATTCCAGGAAATATTTCCAGGATTAATGACTTTTTACTTTACTTCCTCACTGCTTTCCCCTCTCCTTTCTGTAAAAGATAGTGGTTTCCCAATTCCAATAAAATGGTTATTTTGAGATATTAGTCTGCCATCTTCTTGGTCAGACAATTTTCCAAATAGTTATATTCCTTACCTCAACACCTAGTCTTTTGGATTTATTGACCTGTCATATGGTGGGCAGAGTGAGTTTGGACTTTGTAACAGGTTGATGGTAAGATAAAAGAGTGATGTTCGGGAAACCTCAATCTTTCGGCTCCAGTCTGGGGCCTACATGTGTGTAGACAGCATGTAGTCACCATCCTCCACCTCAGTGGGGTCTTAATTTCTACAAAAGCTCAAAGATATGCATTAAATTGTATCTCTATCCCTTCAGGAAGAATTAGGAGTTTAATGACTCAGTTGTCCTAATCACTAACTGCTTGAGCCTACTCTGTGAAGCTCAGTAAAGATTTTGAAGACTAAAGCCTTTTTTTCTACAAACAAGAAATGCGGGCATAGAGGAGATTCTGTACTCAGGAAGGCCCCTCAGGGTCCTGCTTAGTTTCATAAGTAATACATTTTAATAAGTCCCTTTCCAATTGTCCTTGCCCTCCAATCCTCCACACTTAGAGAGATCCATATGAAATGACCTGCAAAGCAATACTGTTTTCATATTTACTACATGAGCTGTTGTATGGGATGTCTAAACCAGTGATTTTATACTATTTAGAGGCTCTACTTGCTTTTGTGGAGTAAGGCTATATGGCTCTCTATTGACCCTCTTAAGGATTTTTTCCAGTTTTTTTCCTCCTTTGATTAACTTATTTTTAATTGGAGGAAAATTGCTTCATACTGTTGTGTTGGTTTCTGCTGTACAACAATGCAAATCAGCCAAAATCATGCATGGATCACCTGCCTCTTCAGGGCTTCCCCGGTGGCTCAGACAGTAAAGAGTCTGCCTGCAATGCCGAAGACCTGGGTTTGACCCCTGAGTCAGGAGGATCTCATGGAGAAGAACTTGCCAACCCACTCCAGTATTCTTGCCCAGAGAGGTCCAAGGACAGAGGAGCCTGGTGGGCTCTAGTCCATGCGGTCACAAAAAAGTCAGACATGGCTGAGAGACTAACATTTTTGCTTTTTAACCTCCCTCTTTAGCCTCTCTCTTCACCACCTATATCCTACCCTTCTAGGTCATCAAAGAATGCCAGGCTGGGCTTCATGTGTTATATAGCAATTTTTCACAAGCTCTCTATTTTACACACGGTAGTGTGTATATAATTGATCCTACTTTTTTGGTTTATACCACTCTTTCCTTCTATCACCATGTCCACAGTCTGTTCTCTATGATTGCATCTCCCTTCCTTCCTTGCAAATAGGCTCATCAGTATCATTTTTTGAGATTCCATATATATGCACTAATATACTGCCTATGTGTCCCTCTAAGAGCTTTACAGTTTGTGGCCTTACATTTAAGTCTTTAATCCATTTTGAGTTAATTTTTGTGTATAATGTTAGAAAGTGTTCTAATTTAATTCCTTTATGGGTATCTGTCCAATTTTCCCAGCACCACTTATTGAAAAGACTGTCTTTTCTCCATTGTATATTCTTGCCTCATTTGTCAAAGATAAGGTGCCCATAGGTGCATGGGTTTGTCTCTGGGCTTTCCATCTTGTTCTATTGGCCTGTATTTCTGTTTTTGTGCCAGTGCCATACTGTCTTCATGACTGTAGATTTGTACTATAGTTTGAAATCAGGAAGGTTGATTCCTCTGTTTTTCTTTCTCAAAATTGCTTTGACTATTTGGGGTCTTATATTGCCAAACAAATTGTGAAATTATTTGTTCTAGTTATGTGAAAAAGGTCATTTGTAATTTGATAGGGATTGCATTAAGTCTGTAGCTTCCTTTGGGGACTATAGTCATTTTTGCAGTATTGATTTTTCCAGTCCAACACCACAGCATATCTCTCCATCTGTTTGTATCACCTTTGATTTCTTTCACCAGTGTCTTATGGTTTTCTGAATACAGGTCTTTTTTCTCTTTAGGTAGGTTATTCCTAGATATTTTATTCTTTTTGTTTTAATGGAGAATGGAATTGTTTACTTAATTTCTCTTTCTGGTTTTTCATTTTTAGTGTATAGGAATGCAAGGGATTTCTGTGTATTAATTTTATAGCTTACAACCTTACTATATTCACTGATTAGCTCTATTAATTTTCTGGTGGCATCTTTAGGGTTTTTTATGTATATATAGTGTCATGTCATCTGTAAACAATGAGAATCT